TCTAAACAAAGTGTTTAAAAAACCAACAACAAAAAACAAACAAAAAATCCTGCTTGGTAGTGAGGTGTTGCAGACTGATGGAGCACTAGGGCTGTTCTCCGTTTGCTAGAAAATGGGGCAGTGGGGAACATGATTGACAGGTTTCCATTGATCTGCAACTTGCTTCTAACCTGAAATAGTCCAAGTTGAGGATCTTCAAAACACAGTTTAAATGATCCTTGTCTTGATAGGGTGTTGGAGGCAGATAGTATGCTTCCTGAATGGTGAAAACATAAGAAGGAGTTTTTGTATGAGACTGTTTAAGTTTCCATCTGATTGATTGTTTTGATGATGCTGAGATCTAGCTCTATTGTTAATGGTGGGTTGGAATCTTGAATAGGTGTCCCTTTTTTTGTTAAATATTTAAAATTTAAGTTAACCAATTTTATTCAAGTCTTTTGAGTAGTTGCTTAAAACACATTTTTCTGTGTTTTGTTGGGGACATACCCTAGGTTAGTATTCTCAGTATTTTTTTCAAAGATGGGAAGATGTCTGTAATGATTGAACTGTATGTTTGAACTAAAATACTGGCAGTAGTTGTGATTTCTGCTTCAGCTTTAGTTAGTTTTTCATTTTTAGTCTTCTTTAGTTACTTTCTTCATAGCAAACATTTACTTTGAAACTGTGCATTCATATGGCACAAAAGGAAAGTAGTGTATTAAAAGCCTGGCTATCCAGGCCAATGTTTGCATTCTTTCCAGAGTCATAGATGTTTCATAGTTGGGGCTTGGACAAAAACTTGTCTTTAATACCACTTTAGAAAACTAGCCGAATGTTTGCCGTTTTGTGGAGGAATTGGAGGGTGTTCTTCTTTCCACCACTAAATACTTTGTTTCATTTTTTAAGTGGACCATCGTCAACTGTTTGTGTATATAAGAAAAATGCTGCTATTCCACCAGATGAAATGGAGTGGACTCTTAAAAGTAATTTAAAAACCTCATTTCTGATTGGAAAATGTCATGTGTAAAGTAAACCACTGTACTTCTGTTACCAAAGTAGGTGCAAAGAGAAGAACTTCGGGGGGGGGTTTGTAGCCATCTAATAATTTTTTTTAATTGAACACTATTCTTGGGGTCTGCTGCACAGTTTGAGGGGAGCCTTTATAACATGACACGTAAAGGCCAGAAAATGCTGTCTATGCAGAAGCTACTTCAGTGTACACATGTTCAGACACTAGTAGTTACTTGCCACTTTTTTTAAAAGAGCGTCTGATGAAAGGCTGCTTTTTAATTTGACTTCAACTCCCACACATTCCTTTTAATTCTGGTTTAGTGAAACTTGGGCACTTTTATTTTGCAGGTTCGTGAAGACTTTTTGCAATCTCTCTTGTTATTGTTTGGCTGTTAATAACTGGAAGAAATTGACCAAGCATGATAGCGGAAAAAAGGCGCCAGCAGTTGCCACAGTGACAGCTGTCCAATGTAAATATCTTACGACTCTTCTGTTTATCATCTGTTTTCAGGGCAGTTTAAGCTGCTGGAACAAGACCGAGATATTAAGGAGCCAGTGCAGTATTTTAACAGTGTGGAGGAGGTGGCTAAAGCATTTCCTGAACGAGTTTACGTCATGGAGGAAATAACGTTCAACGTTAAGGTAGCCCCTGAATAAATATTTATCCCCATCTAAATGATTAAGTGTTGCAACCTTTATATACATGGCAAATGCGCAGCTGCGTTATGTGGGAAGAATGATTTCTTGGGACAGATGAGTCCAAGTCTTGCATTCTAAAACAAGGTTCGTTGGTGTCTCTTTTTGTAGCATTAAATCTCTGTGGTCTCCAAGAGCTGTTTTCCCCATAGCCATTTAGGAAAACACCTCTGATCATTGCAATAAAATGGATAGATATTGTTGCCAGATTTTAGACAAAGTGTTTTTGTTGCACCCCAAAGCAGCCTGTTTTTACCTCCTGCTAGGCAGCAGCTGCTCCACTCACTGTCCAGCAAGTCTAATTTCCAGACCGCGCAGAGGTCTTTGATCAGATGGCAGGCTACCACAGTGCAATAATCCAGTGAATAAAGCAAAACAAGGAAAAGACCAATTGCTGTCTACAAAGGAGATAAGTGAATTGCATGGGAATGCAAAAAGGCCTTTATAGCCATGCACAGAGACTGTCATTCAATAGAGTAGTGGCTGCCTGAATCTGCTTACATGAATTCTTACCTGTGTATCCCATGGGATAGAGTGCAAGCCAGAGGAGCTTTCAGTACAGATCAGAGTGGCTGTGCAGCTTCCCTATTTTGTGCTAGCTGGAACCCCAACTAAAGCTTGTTGATCAACTTCCATGTCCTAGGGTGGGAGCAAGCTGATTATTGTGCAGTGAATTCGCCTCCTCAGAGGATTCTCTGGTTAACTCTTCACTCTCCTTGCACTACAGGAGCATGGGACCAGGGTCTAGCCCAGGGATGGGCAGTTATTTTGGCTGGTGTGCAACTTAATGAATTTTGGTGAGCTGTTGAGGGCCACACACACAATCTTTCAGAAGAGCTCATTTTAACAAATAACAGAGATGGATTTTAAAAACCCCCACACAAATCGTATACTAAAAACAAACCTCTACTATAACATTTTAATTTTGTTTCAAAAAATTAATTTTTGTCCTGCTTTATGGTTTTTTAGTAGTGTGTGTATAGAGGCAGTTGTGTAATAGTTCAAAAGAATGTCTTACTCTTGTATATTTGGGGGAGGAGTATATGGGGGCTGCACATATGCTACGTCCTGGGAGTTGGCTAGGGGTGAGGGAGGGTGGCGGGGCAGGGAGCACGTGCAGGAACAGCTTGCAGAGGCAGTGCGGTGCAGGTGAAGTCTATCCATCACCCCCTCCATCCCGCCTGCAGCTGTTCCAGCAGTGCTCCGTATGGAACCTGCAGCCTGCACCACTCACCCTCCCTGTGCCCACCAGTGGCCCTCACACCAGCCAGCATGCACAGCTTTCCAATGGGGCTGCTCCCACTGTTGCTGCAGCATCCAGGTACTGCTTGGCTCCCCTGCCTCCAGCAGTTCCTCCTCCTGCTGCACCACTCGAGGCAGCAGGTAGTGTGGGAAAGTGGTGGCAGCTGTTGGGATGCGTGCCAGGCACCACATGCCCAGCCAGGCAGCTCCAGCCCCGGCATACAGAGCTCTATCTCCCAGCTGCCTTCCATCCATTCTTCCCACCTGGCAGGATGATCAGCCACTGGCTAACAGTGTTAACCCTGAGGTAGAGTGGGTGGAAGGTGGCCAGGACCGGGAGCCCCACACACTGGGGCAGGAGCCACATGGCTGCAGCTTCCCCTCTACCTGGCTGGGTATGTGGTGCCCAGCACACATCCCTATGGCTGCTGCTGTTTCCCTGCACTACGTGCTGCCTGCAGCAGCACAGCCAGGGCAGGAGGAGGAGGAGCCACTGGAGGTGGGGAGAGATGAGCAATACCGAGGCGGCTGCAGCAGCAGTGGAAGCAGCCCTGGCAGGAAGCTGTGTGTGCTGGCCAGGGTGGTGCCATCAGCAGGCAAGGGGTGGGTGCTGGTGTGGGCTGTCCTGGGTGGGAGTGTGCAGGGCTTGGTCTAATGCAGAGCACTATGGGTACAGCCACAGGCTAGATGCAATCAACTGGTGGGTTGGATCCAGCCTGCGGGCCATATTTTGTCCACCTCTGGCTTAGCCATAATTCATACGTATGAGGCAGGGTTGTTCAAGGATGGTTGTGCTAGTCTAAGTGAATGTGGATTAACTGATGTAATGATGCAATAAATACAACTTCTGGGAAAGCACACTCTCATTTACATGATTATAAATAAGGGGGTTTCATAAATGAATGCAATAGGAAGTTGCAGAATAGTTTTGTTTCAAGGACGCTGTTTAATTTAACTCTGCTTAGAGTTAACATTGTTAGCATTACTCAGTTGACCAGTGGAAAAAGGTAAAATACCAGCAAAATGCACTCCTGTGATTTTTATAGTGAGAGTATAGTACTACAGCTTAAATATAAATTTTTCCTGTGTAAATTGAATAGGGATGTCTTCAATAATACTTCCCATATTCAGTAAACAGAAAGTAAAGTTTGAATATCAGCCTTATATTCTGAAAATCACTGTGTGATAGTATTTCACTATGTTTAACAATGAGCTAAGAAGTCATCTTAGCTGTTTTGCCTAAATGTTTCAAATTGGTGAATATCTAAAGTCTGTTTGCTTCCAGAAATAAAAATAAAATTGAAGTAATTTATCAGGATTTTAATAAAGATCTATTATTTAAACCAGGAGCATTGAGCTCATCAGGCCCTGTGGGCCAGATGACTGGCACAGGGCTGGTTTGAGAGCCAGATCCAGTGCATGCAGCTAGTCTAATACAGGCCCCACATGCAATGTTTGCCCCATGCTGGCTCTGTGTGCAGTGTGCACCTTGGACCACTCCCAAATGCAGGTCTAGTCAAGGTACTTATAAGCGGCTCAGTAGGCTGTATCTTTGACATGCTTGATTTTAAACAATTTATTTTGATCAGATGGTACATCTGCTACCGGACGAATGTTATATGTAGAAGTTAATCTAAAATTGACTTAAGCAAAGAGAGAAGGGATTAAAATCTATGAATTACTAGATTATTCCTAAATTAGATCTTTAAAAATTATGCAGAATAGGTAATGTACTAAACACATTTTATAAATGGAAGAAGGAAGGAGAAAGCATCATGTTTCTTACCCAAGCCTGCTTTAGACCATGCAGGATTTGCCCAGAGGCCTGTGTGAAGTACTTAAGATCTGCATCAGGCTTCTTCAGTCTGGAAGTAAATGTTTTTCCCTTTCCCATCTTGCTTAATGACAGAAGGGTCTTGATTAGATTCCATCTGCATAGGAGAGGTGATTGGCATGGGAAAACAGCTGCTAATAGCTGTGCAGTAGACAGATCTGCAGAGGGAACTTTGTAACAAAATAACAAAAAAAAAACCCAAGCCAAAAAAGCCCCAAACTTGATAAGGAGTGTGTAAGAAAACTGAATTCTGTACCCACTTTTAAAGGCAGGTCAGGAAAGTCTTCTGCCACAATGACACATTTAAAAAATAAAGCTTCTACCCAGTTAATATACTCATTTATCACATTCACCTGATCCAGATATTTACATTCCCACGAGCACCAATTTTACTCCAGTTTTATTCTTTCAAGTAGCATTGTTTGAAGTGCAATGTCATAGAAATCATAGAAAATGTAGGGCTCGAAGGGAACTCATGAGGTGTCTAGTCCAACCCCGTGCTCAAATTGGCACCATCCCCAACTAGATCATCCAAGCCAAAGCTTTGTCTAGCCGGGTGTTAAAAACCTCCAAGGATGGAGATTCCACCACGTCTCTCAGTAACCTGTTCCAGCGTTTTACTACTCTCCTAGTAAGAAAATTCTTCCTAATATCTAAACTAAACTTCCCTTGTTGAAACTTGAGACTGTTGCTCCTTGTTCTGTCACCTGCCACCACTGAGAACAGTCTAGCTCAGTGGTCTCCAACCTTTTTAAGTAGGAGATCACCTTTTGGCATTTAAAAACCAACCCAAGATTTACCATGCACCATTGCCATTCCTATAAAGCATGAGATTGTTCCATCCTAAGTATAGAACTTTCTACTTGTCCTTGTTGAACCTCATGAGATTTCTTTTGGCCTAATCTTCTGATTTGTTTAGGTCTCTCTGAATCCTAGCCTTACCCTCCAGCATATCTACTACCCCCCCCCCCCCAAGCTTGGTATCATCTGCAAACTTGCTGAGGGTGCACTCTATGCCATCTTTCAGGTCACTGATGAAGACATTGAACAAAACCAACCCCTGGGGCCCTCCACTTGACACCAGCAGCCAACTAGGCATCAAGCCATTCATTACTACCCTCTGAGCCCTAGGCTTCAGCCAGTTTTCCATCCACCTTACAATCATTCATCCAGCCTGTATTTCCTTAGCTTGCCAGAGAGAATATTGTGGGAGACTATATCAAAAACCTTGCTTAAGTCAAGGTACATTGAATCCACTGGTGTCCTCACATCCAAAGAGCCAGTCAGCTTGTCATAGAAGGCAATCAGGTTGGTCAGGCACAGCTTGCCCTTGGTGAATCCATGGTGACTGTTCCTTATCACGTTCTCCAAGTGCTTTGAAATGGATTCCTTGAGAATCTGCTTCATGTTTTTTCCAGGGACTGAAGTGAGGTTCACTGATCTGTAGTTCCCTGGATTCTCCCTTTTCCCTTTCCTAAATATAGGTACTGTTTGCCCTTTTCCAAACATCCATGACTTCTCCTGATTGCCGTGAGTTTTCAAAGATGATGACCGCTGTCTTCGCAGTCTCATCAGCCAACTCCCTCAGCACCCTCAGGTGCATTCCACGCAGCCCCATGGACTAGTATAAGTACAACTTTGCTAGGTAGTCCTTAACCTGTTCTTTTGCTACTGCTGGCTGCTCACCTCTTCCTCAAACTGTGCCACTTGGTGCAGTAGTCTGTGATCTGACCTTGCCTGTGAAGACTGTCATGTAAAATGTGACATAATAAGATTTTGATCCCATAATTGTCATCTTGACATTTATTTTTCATCTATTTTTTTTGCCCTCTTCTGCTTTTTGGGGTTTTTTGTGGGGTGGGTTTTGTCT